TCAGTGTTATTGACCATTGTGGACCGTTTTTCTAAAATGGTCCACCTGGTTCCTCTCCCCAAGTTACCTTCTTCCAAGGAGCTCAGCGTTATCATGGCCAAGGAGGTTTTCAGGCTCCATGGGCTCCCCCAGAACATTGTGTCTGACCGAGGTCCCCAATTCATTTCCAAGTTCTGGAGGGAGTTTTGCAACCTGCTAGGGATCTCGGTCAGCCTCTCGTCAGGTTTTCATACCCAAACGGATGGACAATCTGAGCGTACCAACCAGGAGGTGGAGACCAAGCTTCGGCTCCTCTGCGAGGGGGACCCGAGGAAATGGACGTCCAACCTCCCTTGGATTGAACAAGCAATCAACTCTCTTCCATATTCTACATCAGGTATTTCACCCTTTCATGTTGTCTATGGATTCCAACCCCCTGTTTTTTCAGTCCAGGGGAGAGAAGCTCGGGTTCCCTCTGCACGACTCGCAATTTTACGTTGCCAGCGAGTCTGGAGAAAAGCCAGGAGAGCCCTAATTTTGGCCACCAAGAGGTACGTTCGGGGGGCTAACCGCAGGAGAACGCCTCAACCATTGTACAAGGTGGGCCAGAAAGCGTGGCTCTCCACCAAGGACCTTCCTCTCCGTGTGGAATCTAAGAAACTAGCACCACGTTTCATTGGTCCTTTTCTGATTACCAAAATAATCAATCCTGTCTCTGTTCGCTTACAGTTACCCAGGTCCATGCGCATTCATCCAACGTTTCATGTCTCAAGACTCAAGCCATTTGTCCTGCCACGTTTTCGACCCACCACCGACCTCCCACCACCCGCCCGACTCATTCAGGGGAGCCCAGCCTACACGGTCCGACGCCTTCTTCGTTCCAGAAGGTGGGGGAGAGGACTCCAGTATCTGGTAGACTGGCAGGGGTACGGCCTGGAGGAACGTTCCTGGGTGCCCTCACGCAATATTCTGGACAAAACCCTCATTAGAGACTTTCATCGACTGAACCCTCTCCAGCCTGGTGGTCCTTCAGGAGCCGGACCTTGAGGGGGGGG